ATTATTAAACCAAATATAAATTACTTCGTTATTGTACATAAATTAAATTATAAAAAAATTGAATTAAAAAATTACACAAAAAAATGAGGAATTTCAAATAGTTAATTTGATATTAATATCGATATATTTTTGTCAAAATTTTATGATATCTTCAAACATATATTTTATTCAAAAATAAAAATATCGTCGCTTTCTCAAAATCACATAAAGCCATATTATAACATCGACTGAGAAAAAGAATAAAATGAAATATTAAAATCACGATGTATCTCGTTGCATTACGCGAGTACGCTTCTAGTTATGTTAAAAGACAAAAATCGATCGTTTGACGTTGCATAAGAACGACAAACAATGTCTTTCATACAAGACTGTATATAACGGGATCTTTAAAAAGAAATTATATTATCATTAAAAAAAAGGGTATTTTTAAACACAAATAATAAATTCAATTTTTTATTATAATTTAATTTAAGTTTAATAATGTTGTAATTTATTTTTGGTTTAATAATATAAATTTTTAAAAAAAATAATAATTAAGTATTTTATTATAACTCAATAATTTTCATAATTATATATTAGATTTTTTATATGTAAAATGAGATGTTTATCCAATACTTAATTATGTTTATCTGTAGTTAGTTACAACGAATTTAAATATGAAGCTTTAATAAGTGATACTTATGCACAATTTACTTGTAATCTTAAATTTTAAGTAATATGCATCAATAAACAGTACTTCGTGCATAAAAAATCGTTTTTAAAATTTTTTATCAAATGTTTTATAATATAGTATAGATATAGATGTAATTAATTATCTTAAATTAATGGCCTAAAATAATGTCACCTACCTTTGCTAATTCATATTACAGATAGAAAGGTGACCAAATGATACCATAAATAAAAAGTATAGTATAAAACCAAAAGCTAATTCATATTACAGATAGAAAGGTGACCAAATGATACCATAAATATTAAATACATAACAAGAAAGAAGAACAATTATTTCTTGCATAAAATATTTTATTGATACCTTACTGGATGAATATGGCAAGGATCAAGAATCTTATCCGGTAAAAGCGAGACAAAGAACAAGAGTTTTACCCGGTAAGTGAAGACGACGACTCTTACCACGGTAAGAGCTTATCGGGTAAATTATTGCATACGGTGCGGTTTTGGTGGACTAAAATCTTACCTGGTAAGTAAGTAATAGTGTTGAATTTTATCGGTAAGCACTTATCGGGTAAGTTTTTGGTAAAGGGCCCGTTAACAAATTCCTATACCATTTTGCAGAAAGTTTCGGTACCCGAGTTAGCGTTTGACGGTCAACGTAGTGTAACCCGAACCTCACGAAGTAACCGTATAACCATTCGTAGTTATCCAGCAACGACCATACGAAGTATCCACGTACATCCGCTCCCCCTCTATCATTCAAAAACAACACTTTTTCAAATAATAAATACAATTTACGTTCATAAAAAAAGTACCGGAAGATTGTAGAGCGAACCTGATAGACTTGGCTAAAGAAGCAAGGTATGCGGTATGATATTCAACTCGTTTGATGTCATTCAGAAGCACACCGACTCGTTCCTCGTGCACGTCGGGGGAAGAATACCCTGCATCGGAGTTACGAGAATGGGGTAAAGGTCAATAACCACTACAACAAGATCGGCTTTATAGGACGTCTAAATTGTCTAAGCGTCCTAATAGAATACATTATAGAACTTAGGTTTATAGGACCAAATAAAGAGTCTTATCTAAAAGCGTTGCAATAGGTTTATAGGACGCCTTTAGGCGTTTTAACAAGTTTTTTAGGACGCTTTTAAAATAAAGTGTCATATTAACACATCTTTTTATAAGACACTTGTGTTTATTGGACACTTTTTCAAATAGTGACGTAGAAAATAGTTAATACGACACTTTATTTTAGAAGTCATCCTAAAAAACTTGTTAAAATGCATAGAAGCGTCTTATAAACCTATTATAACACTTTTAGATACGACACTTTTTGGTTGGTCCTGTAAACTTAAGTCCTATAAAGTATCTATTTAGAACACTTCTTGATTTTATACGTCCTATAAAATCAATTTTGTTGTAGTGAACATATTCCGATATTCATAATTTGTTCAATCTGACGATTGTGAAACTTACCATTTTCGGTAATAAACATGGGTTTATTATTGTACTGAATCTTGATATAGTCAACAATCTTCCCCATGCCACTAGGAACAACCGATAATCCTTCTATCGCGGTCGGTTCGCCGATGGGCACACCATCACGCTCTCCAACCAGCTCGAGAAAACCTTGGATTGCATGGTTGGCGGTTGGAGAGCAACTAGAGTTGGTACAATCCTTTGCATATTTAGTCGAGTAATGATTGATGCCGATGAAATCAATACTGTTCTTCATAAACCTCTTTTCGTCAAGGGAGAAATTTGGTAATTCACTTCCGAGGTATTCATGCATTTCTTCGGGATAATCTCCAAATATTACAGGATCAAATGACCTGTTTTGAGGGTTAGAAGTTGAAGGAAGATCATATAAAACTACGTTGGAAACGGACATACGGTCAAGAACATTACCAGCCGATATTGAAAGCAAGGGCCCTTTTGGCAGCATTGCGATCAAGCTCACTATCCGTTAGCGGTTCATACATGAAACAATGTACAACGAGCCCTATCGATCCTCCTTGTTTCGGCTGCATACATAAATCCAAAGATCATGAACGATAATTTTCTTAACCAACATGATTTAAAAGTACATTAGTCCAACAATGCCAATAGGTCAGGACTTGATGGCGAGCTCAACCGGCAATAATTATCTAAAAAAAATTACATCCAACTCCAACAACTATTCTATTTTAGCAATTCTAACATTAACGGTATTATTAAAAAAGTTAATTTATTTAATAAAATATTATTTCTTTCTCGTAAACATTTATTTTCAATACTTCTTATTGGTAGAAAAGTATAAAATAATAATTTCTCTCTCTATTTAGAGATTTCTCTAAATTTAAAGATTTTTACAATCTCTCTCCTCTTTTCTTTATTTTAACATACAAGATAGCATAGTTGTTAGAGCAAAAAAGTTGCTAAAATCCCCCTTTTATCCATTTTAGCATAGCTGTTGGAGATGCTCTCCTAGGTCAACGGTTCAAGTCTACTCAAGCCCATTGTGGATTTTCCTCACTGTTATCTTCAAGGTCAATGGGATTTCTCAAGTGGGACCAAACACCCATGGTTCGCAAAAAAAAGAAGATAAAAGAGATAAAGTTGGTTGATTGCCTGGAACTTTTCATGATATAGCTTGGCTGCCATGCCGTGGGCTAGTAACATGTTGTGCATAGCAATGAGTGGCTCCACATCTGAATTTCCAGCAAGACAGTTGCCAAAAGGCTCGGAACAACGAGAAGGAGGAAAACGGCCCGTTTTGTAAGCAAATTCCACGAATACGTTAGGTTCGTTGATTGTGATCCAATACTTCACTCGGTCTCCAAACGACTTGAAACAAACTTCTGCCATATGTACAAAATCTTCCCTGCCAACAAGATACATTATAACGCCCGATAAGCTAACAAAAAAAAAGGCAAGTAACCGAGATTGTTGTGAAAATGGCATTTTAAACATACTTAATTTCCGGGTTTAGCCAGGACCCATATCTTTCTTCAAGTTCTTGAGGAAAATCATTATGGAAAAGTGTCACAAATGGCTCGATTCCTGTATCATTTTCACCAACAGTCATGAATCAAGCTCACTTCCCATAAAACATACACCAGTTTTTGAGGTAAAACTAAAAAAAACATCAAAAAATCATGGATGAATCTTGAATTTGAATCAATTTCTAAGATCAGATGTAGTATTTAACTTTCATCCCATCACACCTTTGAGGGTCAGATTGTCTATTATCTTGTTATAGAACATGATCCCAGCAGGATTAACTTCACCAAACCTTCCTTCTGGTAATTAGATGCACAAAAATGTAAGCATAGTTAAAAAAAAAATAATGGAAACAAGAAAGGGATTATGGTAAGATTGTATAGAATACTTGGAAGAATTCTAGCCCACGAAATCGAAAATCTGTATGCTTTTACACCAAGGGAATGCATCAAATCAATGTCTTCCTGTTTTTAAAGAAACATAAGTAATAAATCAAGATTCAAAGAAACAAAACTATTGTTGATATAAAACGGTCAACAGGTTAGATATTTGAGCAGAAGTTGAACCAAAAATCGATGATAATGATCATCTGCAATATCTCCGTTTTCTCCATTTTCCGCACAACCTAATAACAATGGCAGTCAATATTTATCACCAAATATCAAAATCAATTTGTGGTATAAGCAATAACAAACGTGCAATCGATAATACAAACCTACGGAATGACAAAATACATCCCAGTTGCTGAGGGATTTAGAATCTTCAAGATAGGCTCCTTCAATCTGCAAAATTCCATGAGGTAAGTGATATATATATATATATATGCATGATAATGAGAAAGAAAGTGAAAGAAAAGAGGATGGTCGACTTGATAAGCAGAGGTGGCGGTTCCAAAGAGAAACCCAGGTGGAAAATCGGATCTTTTGATATGGGAATCTTCTTTTTCTTCCAGTTTGAATCGTCCACCGCCATTGTTGAAGGCTTCAAGAAGAAGAGCAGAAGCAGAAACAAGAAAGATGAAGAGAAAAATGGTGAGTGACAGCAATTTCATAATGGAACAAGGAGGGAATCTTTCTTTCTGTAAATCAACTTTGCTTATACTTCAATATATATAGTTTATATATAGAGTAAACTATTTATATATATAATGGTGATTGAGATATTCAAGCCAGAACTTTTAAATAATACAAATCAAAACGCTAAAAACATGTGATTAATGGAAAAATCATTTATAGGATACGCATCCTCTCTAAAAGGGTTGACTACAACAAACTTCAATCATGGGGTCGAGTAGATGATTTAAATAATTCCAGCAAACGCTATTAGGAGTGTTTCGTAAAGTGAACTGTTCAAATACACGATAAACATTGTCCTACAAATAATACATATATTGTTTTTAACAACATTCTAAATGGTGTGAGGCGTGGCGGCAAGCAAGGACGTGGTGTTCTCAAGGAATGACCGAAATGGCATGATTTGGCGGCAAGGTCACAATGTTTTTAAGGTGCAACTTGTGGCGGCAAATTTGTATATCGTATATAAAATTATATGTATATACACACACACATGTTTTCTACCATTACTCAATAAGTCAATGATAGTAAACAATTTAAATTGGTTATATACTAAAAATTAAAGTCACTAAAAAGGTAAGAAATGTCAAATAGCGGGTCACAAAACTTGAGCATTAAGCAATGGCGTGTCGCATGCTGAACGTGTCGTCAAACACGTGCCTTACGCCACGGCGGCAACCGTGGTTGACCTTTTAGAACATCTAAAATTATAATATAACAAACTTGTTATAATCATATAAAGTGTAAGTATTAAAAATATGATATTTTTTAACAATTTGCAACAATTGTGCGGTTTGTAACTATAAGGGTATAAAGTGTAACTACTAAAAATAACTTGTAAGTATTATGATATTTAATAGGGTTAAATGCATCAAATAGCAACTTACTTTCATAAATTTTCTTATTATAGCATTCTACTTTTGTTTTTCTTTATTACAGCAATGTACTTTCAAATTACTTTTTTATTAAAGCATCACACTTTAAAAAATCTACCCATTATAGCAATGTGTAACCTGTTACCTTTTAAAGCGGTTAACCCTTTGACTTTTTTGTTTGTGTGGTTTTACTGAGGTGATGTGGATGACACATCATATTGATAACTTAATTAAAATAAAAATAAAACCCTATTTCAAATTATTATTAGTGATTTTAATTTCTCATTGCTATGATTTAAAACAATATTTAAATTTTTTGACTTTTTTTTATTAAGTTGCATGCAAATTAAATATTCTAGAGTAAAATATTTCTTAAATAAATATGCCATATTATTTTCGAGATATATTTTGTTTGTAAAAAAAGTAACACTTCTTATTTTATGTTGTTCAAAAAAAATATTTTTTAAAGTTTTCTGTAAAATGTTAACGAAATGAATTGTGTTCTACAATTTTTTAATATTGTTATATTAATAAATAATTCAAAAAAATCTAATTAATTAATATATTTATACGTCAAGTAAAAGTTTTTGAATAAATATAATATATTCTTTAAAAGATAATATTTTTTTGGTAAAAAAGGACAATTCTTATTTTTCTTTTTTCAAAAAATACATATTTTTTTAAAAATATTAACGACATAAGTTGTCTTCTACTAGTTTTATTAATATTGGTACATCAATAAATAATTTAGAATTTTTTTAATTCATTTAATATATTTATTAAATAACATGTAAAATATCTAAATGTTAAAATTAAAAGTACATTTTTTAATAAGAACTCGTAGATGCTATAATAAAATAATTTTGAAAGTACAATGTTGTAATAAGAAAGTAACATCACTATAGTACATATGGACAATCTATGTAGACAATAAGGTGGCATGGAAACATGGTATAATAATTTAAATCAAAAGGTTACCCAATGTTATAATAGGTAAATTTTTCAAAATACAATATGCTAATAAAAAATAGTTTAAAAGTATATTGTTGTAATAAAAAAAACCGAAAGTACAATGTTATAATAAAAAAATTTATAAAAGTAAATTACTATTTTGTGCATTTTACCCTATTTAATAATATCATTAAATCCAAAATATTCAATATTATAAGGATATACAGTATAATTAAATAAAAGTCTATTCCGATACAAATAATTTATTTATTTATTAGATATTATGTTCGTAACAAAATCTAGAAAAAGGGACATTTTACCCAACACTATAAAATTATTGGAAGGACACCAAATTTACAAAACTATAAAATTATTGAAACGGGAATAGAATTAGGCATGGCAACGGGGCGGGGATGGGGCGGGTTTTGTAATCCCCGGCCCCGGCCCCGGCCCCGGTTTGTAATACCGTCCCCCGGCCCCGGCCCCGGCCCCGGTCCCCGGCGGGTACGGGGATTACCATCTCGTCCCCGGTCAAATTCTAGATTTCCCCGGTCAAAACCCGGTAAACCCCAGTCAATCCCCGGTCAAAACCCGGTAAAAAGTATGCTTTAGTTTGATTATACCGGGGATCCCCGGCCCCGACCCCGGCCCCGTTTCGAGTAACATTCCCCGTCCCCGGCCCCGTCCCCGGTTTGAGTCTACCGGGGATCCCCGGCCCCGGCCCCGAGACCCGTTTTAGCGGGGAATCCCCGTCCCCGTTCGGGTCGGGTGAACCGGATTCCCCACCGGGTCGGGGCAAATCATCATCCCTAAATAGAATACCATTATTGGATATTAACAATCAAGGGGATCGAGTTAAATAAAAAACCCCAAACAAAAACTTTCCCTATATAGAAACACATTAATCCAAATATCTAGGATTTAATGGAAAACCAACCAATAATATCTAATAACGAGCTCGAATTTGTTCAAATCTGGATCGTTTTTGTTTAAATTTTCTGTACATCTCGAAGTCAACATCGTTATCGACAATTTTGTTCAAGAATCATGCCGTTTCATCAAGAATGACTCCGTAATTTCTAGATTAAAGTTACGGTTTAATCAAAAAACCGACATCTGTTTGAAATCGAGAGTTGTTCAGCCATTGTTGGCTTGCAACACCAGCTAGTGTCCATAGGAAACATAAAAACGAAGGTATACATGTATTAGGATCAAGGAGTTGTATAGAAAACATACCTGAATCGAAGCAAAAGTCGCGATTCGAATACCGAATTCCACCGACGGAATCTTCTAAAACTCACGATTTCTCGAAACAAAAGCGCGATTAATAGTCGTCGTGGTTATAGATTTATAGGTATGTATATAATAAGCTTCAGATCTGGTGTGAAGGTCGAGAAATCTCGACCATACTTTCCCCAAAACGATGGACATATCATCTTCCATACGCTGAAATCAAAATTTTCTGTTTTCTTTACAAACAGGCCCCTCAAGTTGAGAGACCTGTCCGTCTTACCCCCTTTCTCTTTCGGAAACTTTACTTTTACCCCCTCACATAAAGTTCCATTTATTTTCATTTTCTGACTTTAGTTTAGTGGGTCAACGTGTGAATCCAACGAGACACGTGACTTATTCAGTCAATTATCATGATTATGATGTAGAAAGTGGCTTATCTGATAAGTTTATCGGGTACAGAATGTCAAGTATTTTTTCCCCACCAATTAACGACACCTTACATCTATGAAAAAAACTCTTTTAAACAAAAACATTCTCAATCTTTACGATATATTACTTTATACATTCATCTTTATCCATATATGACTTGGGGTCTGTTTGTTAACAGCTTAATGAGCTTAATATGATTCACGACTTATTTGATCATTTATACATGACTATTTGGTTGTGCCTTAATTGTATAGAAGTGACTTATTCAATAAATCTTCAAAGAGGGGGTTTTATGCAGAAATACAAGTTTTTTTTTCCAAACATGTATCTCCCAATTATAAATACATCTTCCATGTTCCATCTATGAAAAAACTCTCTCAAACAAAAACTTTCTTAATCTATACAGACAAATTCATTTGTATAGTCGTCTTTATCCATATAAGACTTAATGGAAAACCAATCAAACGGCCACTTTAGTCAGGGTATAAGTTGTTCACTAGTAAAAACGATCATATTTTGTCATAAGTTTGTTGATTAGTTTTTCAAGACTATTCGAGGAGGCGATATTGGGCTAGTTACAAATCATTACCAAGTAAATTGTGAATATAAATCCTAAAACGATGTCGTAGAAGTTTTTTTGTAACATAGTGAAGGACTGAAGATGCACAAACAGATCTTGAACTCTATGCTAATCCCGGGCTTCGTTGAAGCCATGTCCCACATAGCCTGTAAGAAGGCCCAAAATGCGCAAAATACCCCAACATTTTCGAAGTTAGACCTAACATAACTAGCATTGTCATAGTCTAATTCAATGACCGGTTAGGCCCGATTTAAGGATTGATTGGCCTAATTCAGATTCTTGACTTCTTTTTTTTTTTGTACCAAACTTCAATATTTTTTTTCTTATACTTTCGTAGTTTTACTACCATATCAGAGAAAAAGGAACAGATGATTTTGATAGATTTTTTTTGATTGATGGTTTGATTACAAAAGATATACAAATACACCCTATATATATATATATATATATATATATATATATATATAGAGAGAGAGAGAGAGAGAGAGAGGAGAGTTCAAATAAAAACCACTCAATTT